AAAAAAAAAAAAAACCCAGCCCTGGCCAAAATAAATAAAATAAATAAAATAAAATAAAGAATTAAAAAAAAAAAAAGAAAAGAAAAGAAAACAGGGAATGAGTGGAAAGCAAGGAAAAGGTTAGGTCCCCATTGAGTGCAGCCTAAAGCAGGCATGGGGCAGAAGGCAGAGGTGGAGGATTTGAGGCTTGGGGAGGGAGGTCCTGAAAAGTAAGGACATCCAGAGGCTATGATCAGGTCACAGGGACAAGAGCTAAAACAAAAAGAGCTTAGGTTGAGGACATCTGATTCAGGGGTCCCAGTTGGCTGGGGCAAGGTAGAATAAGGAAATCTTTACATGGCCAGGCCCATGGCTCATACCTGTAATCCTAGCACTCTGGGAGGCCAATGCAGGTGGATTGCCTGAGCTTAGGAATTCGAGACTAGCCTGAGCAAGAGCCAGATCCCATCTGTACTAAAAACAGAAAAACTAGCTGGGTGTTTGTGGCAGGCACCTGTAGTCCCAGCTACTCAGGAGGCTGAGGCAAGAGCATCACTTGAACCCAGGAGTTTGAGGTTGCTGTGAGTTATGATTCCATGGCACTCTACCCAGCATGACAGAGTGAGACTGTCTCAAAATATAATAAATTAATTAAATTAAATTTTTAAAAAAGGAAATCTTTGCACAAGTCAAGAACTGTTAAGGGGCTGGGCACAGTGGCTAAAACCTGTAATCCTAGCACTCTGGGAAGCTGAGGCAGGTGGATCACTTGAACTTACAGGTTTGAGATCAGCCTGAGGAAGAGTGAGACCCGGTCTCTACGAAAAAATCAAAAACTGAGGCAAGAGGAAGGATCATTTGAGCCCGAGAGTTTGAGGTTGCTATAAGCTATGATGCCACAGCAGTCTACCAATGGCAACAAAGTAGTGAGACTCTGTCCCAAAATAAAGGAACCGTTAAGGGTCTCAGATGAGGGTGGGTCAGGCTGTAACATGACCCACAGTGCCTAACTTACCAGGATGTCCAAGCAGGCAGCCTTGAGCAGAGTAATCTGGTCAGCAATGCTAAGCCCTGTAAAGCCAGGCAACCGCTTGGCAAACTCCACGATCTTGATGATACACTTGGTGGCCAACTCACTGAACTTGTCCCACAGCCCCAGATCCAACTGTACCCGGTGGTCTGCACTAGAGTTCTGCAGTAGGAGAAGTGGATGGTTAGAATGCAAGATGTGGCCCACTTCTGGGGGCTATCCTCTCTGCTAATACCCCAAGCTCTCCCATCTACATTCTGATGCCCTCCTTGTCCTTATCACCAGACCATAGCCTCCAACACAATCCACTCCCATCCCCTAATGTCATGAAGAGTGCACTGTCCTCTCAGGGACCCTGCCCATTCCTCACCGTGGTGTATTTGCCCAGCTGGCAGAGCGAGGGGAAGGTCTCTTGATGGGCTTTGCTGACCTTGGTGATGAGCTCTTCTAACTGTGGGCTCAGCTCATAACTGTCAGGAGACCCTTCTTCCTTCACCTCTTTCTTTTTCTTGTTTCGGTCATTCCGCACAGCTTGGGGATGGAGGTGCAAGGAAAAGGTCAGGACCCTCCAAGCTTCACTTTAGACATCTCTTACCCTAATTTAATGTGCCAAGTACTTATCATGAATGCTTATTCTCTGGTGCCTTAATTCATGCCTCAGTTTCCCCACCTTCTGTAATATTAGCTCCTATTCCTAGGCTGGCTCTCCCCGGCCCCACCCAGGGCCTGAAGCCCCTGTTCTCTCCCCAGGCCATTCAGCTCCATGTCTCCATCCTGCCCTTCCTGTCACCCTGCAGGAGCTGGGGGGCGGGGGGAGCAGGATATGCAGGCGGCAGGATATCCACTTATAGCCTTGGCAGCACAATGGGGGGGATAGAGGAGGGGCCACCCCAGATCCATCTCTGGCTCAGTATGGGGAACAGGAGAGAAGAGGGAATTGGCAAGAGCACCTTCCCCATAAAACAGGGGGAATGTGAGCCCCTATTCACCCATCAGAGGAAGCTCTCAGGGAGGGGAGAATGGGAAAGGGTGGGGTCTCCAGGGTGAACAGAGCTAATCAAATAGGACTGGCCTGGGAGGTAGCACTCCAGGGCACCATAGGTCTCAGAGGTCAAGGAAGTGGGGGTGGACAAAAGAAAGAGGGTGGCAGTCACAATGTGGAACAGGCCCCTGCCCAGGCCATGGATAGGAGTCTACCTTCCTTGGACATGCCCACTTCGAAGCACTTCTGCAGTCGGCAGTACTGGCAGCGATTTCTGGTCACTTTGTTGATAATACAATTTTTGTCACGGTGACATGTGTACACCATGTTCTTCTGGATGCTGCGGCGGAAAAAGCCCTGGAGTTGGGGGGAAGGGGAGAGGAGAGTGCCACTGGAACAGGATGCCGGGAATACCAGCCTCTCATAGGCCTTCCAGGTTGTCCTAGGCCTGACCCAATCAGTTAACTGCCTATGTGCAGAGCAGCCTCCTCCCATTCCTAGCACCTGTGTCCCTGCTCTCTGATCTTACCCAGGTAATTCTGGACCCCCATTCACCCACCCCCACCATGTACACACCTTGCAGCCTTCACAAGAGCTGACCCCATAGTGGTAGCCAGAGGACTTGTCATTGCACACGAAGCATGGCTTGTAGACCCGAGGAGGCGGAGGGGGTGAGGGCGAGCTGGGCACCATCTCCTCTGAACTAGTGCTTTGTGTCTCCACCGCTGGGGAGGAAGCAGTGATGCGCAGGTCAGGAGAGATGGACACCACAGACCTCCAAGCCTCCTCACCATGTATACCCCATGCTTGCTTCTTCCTGGGGCCTACTGGTGACAGTCATCACTACGACAGTGTGCTAGTTCCTGCAACCAGGTACATCCCCACAATAAATACTCCTAGAATCTCCCGAACAGCCACTATTACTGTAGCTTGTCATAAGTGTACCCTCCCACCCCAGTCGGGCCAACTTCTCCATGATAATGCCTATATGACATTGTTTGATTCTCCAAATTGCAGAACAACACCATCCTGGAAATTAACTTCTTTAGGCTTCAGTTCCCCTAACAATAAGGTGGGTGAATAGAAGGGTCAAGGCCCTGCAGCTCTGAACTGTCTAGTCACTCCCTGTTGCTTTGGCAGATCCTTGTCAGTTAGTCTACTTTCCACTATCCTCCTCCCTGTGGGGCAACAGATCTGGGGGAGAAGGCAATCACAGGCCACCTGTAGCTGGCACCTGGCTGAAGGACCTGCTGGGATACTTAGTAATTAGAATAGGACTTCATTATCTCAGGTAGTACACAGCAGATAATGTTTATGCTTTTCCCTCTCATTTCACCCCACAAAATAACCACCAAAGTCCTTTTCTCCAGAAACCACTGAGATGGTGGAGCAAATGGGACACAGGATCAGGAGAGGAAATTAGAGGATACACAACGGCCTTATCTCACACCTGAAGAAGCCAAGGCCAAGAGAAAGAAAGGAACCAGCTCAGTGCCACACTGCCATCCCCAGCACATGGTAAGGCCAAGGCTCTCAGGTTCTCTGATTAGATCTAAGTGGCCACAAGTCAGAGCAGCTGGGAAAGGGGAGACAGGTATTTGCTCAGATCCTCAGGTCTAGAAACTGTTGGGAGTGTAGCAAACCAAGAAGTGAGATGACGTTGAGTAAACAGGGCTGATGGGAGAGGGACTCATTTTTGGACCCTCTCTGAGCCTATGTTTTCATGCTTAAATTGCCTCCAATAAAAATCTGATTGCAGCTCAAAAGGGGTCTCAGCCCCACGAGGTATGGTGCACACCCTCTGTTCAAGAGGCTGCTGGATATCTGTGTATGTGTCTAATCTTCAGAGGCTAGGAAAATCTGTAAACTGTTCAACCTGTAGGACCTGTCGCCCAAACCTATAAGTAATGCAAGAGATCCCTAAGAACCTTCCTAAGGAGTGTTCCATGCATCCCCCTCATGAACACCCCTTTCCTTCTAACCTTCTGCAGCCCACCTGGTCAGAAGCCCCTCCCCCCAGTGAAGCCAGAGAGGGGAAGGAATGCCCAGGAAGCCAGGGTTCCAGGCTAGCTCCACCCCCTGCCCCAGGAGGGAAGCCCTCCCTCTCCCCAACACACACAATTAGCATAAGAATCCTGCTAGAGTGAGATTCCTCAATGAAGAAGGAGAGAGAGGAGGGGAGAAAAGAAGGGTACCAGGAGTCTATTCAAGACTAGGGGGAAGTTTCTGGAGAGGCTGGTGCTGAGAGATGTGGGGAGGGCTGGAATGCCTTTCTGGACCTTTCCTCCATCTTTAGGCCCACCACAGTGCCCTCCAAGGGCATGTGTTCTGCTCGAGGTCTGTGCTGGAGTGGTGCTTGCTCTGGTGCTGACACCCTCCCTGCCCGCAGAGCGCTGCCTCATTTCCTCTTTTGCGCAAGGACCTGGGTGCGGTCAGACTGGCATGAGGCAGTGCCAGCCAATTATAAGACTGGGGGCCTTGGGGAGACAGGCCCGGGGGGCAGCTTTTCCTGTCTGTGTAGTACTGTACCACCCCCATCCCCTGAGCCCTGAAGTGCAGCCCAGTGCCTCTGAGGTCAGTCTTTAGGTAGAGGATCTCAGAAGGCTAACTGGGTCTGCTCCAATCTTACCCTCTCACCAGCCCGGAGCTGAGACCCCACCACCGAGATGCTGCTCCTGGGCTAGGCAGGGGGCCCTGCTGGGGAGGATGGGGGTAGGCTCTGAGTTTTTCTCCTTTTAAAGCCCAAATTGCTGAAATTGAGGAAATTCCTGGCTAGGCTGAGCGGAGCTTCAAACAAACTCTTTATAACCGGCTGTAAATGCTCCCAGCTGCGAGGCCCAAAGCTGAGCAGCCTAGACTCACAATCTAGCACACACCTCCTTGGAGACATACACACTCTCACAGATCAACACACAGGGCACCAAAGCAGGCATATTAACAATAGGCTCCTATAACCCTGAACAGATTCTGGTACAGAGGAACATGGAGATAAAATAAAGACATACTCCAGCCATGCTGTGGAGGTAGACCTACAAATCACAAGACACAGCACTCAGGACTTAGCCACATACTTACAAAAGCACTGTTCTACCCCCAGACAGAAACCCCAGCCTGCCAACACAGCACTAGGACACCAAAGCCTCCAAACAGGCATAAACACACCATTCAGCTCTTCCCTCTAAGCGACTTTCCCTCTCAGTGTGTGTGGCAAGCCTGACGCTGGCTTTGTGTGCCCACCAGGACCCTAGAGGCCCAAATTACTGGTCCAAATTAAAATGCAAAAACCATACAGCTAGTCAAGTCCAAGGGGCTTCTATGGACCTAAAAAGAATTTAAAAAGTCAAGGCCCCTCTCCATGTCCCAGAAACCCTTCCTGGATGAGTCCACCTCAGTACCCCCCCCACTACATACCCCTATTCCCCATCCTAATGGGCAATGAGAGGAAGGTTAAAAATTCACAGGGATTTAGTTCAAATAGTTCCATGCTTTTTCCGTGGCTTAAATGGCACACTTCCAATTCTTGCCCCATGCCACCCCAAAGTATAATCCCCTGTTTGCCACCTCCCTCTTGCTGTCTCCCAGTTGTTAAATCTGAGCAGCTCTGCCCTGAAACCAAAATACAAAAAAAAAAAAAAAAAAAAAAGGAAAGAAAGAAAAGAAAAGAAAGAAAGAAAAAGAAAAACCGAACTTGTAAACAGCGCTACGGAGTGCCAAGGAGAGAGGCGCGTTGGCCGGGGCTCAGTGACCCGGCGTGCGCACTCCCCCAGCGCCCTCCGCCCCGCCCGCTCCCGCCCCTTCCGAGCGTGCCCCCAGCCTCTAGTCCACAGCCGGCCGCACCTCGGCTGCGAGCGCATCCCAATCCCATCCCAACCCCGGGTAAATTTGGGGATTGTTCGAGGCTTTCCTCCCGGCCCCTACCCACACCCCACCCCCGCCAGGCACTGCAGCCCAGGCTTCAAAGCTGCCTCTCATCTGGACTTCATTTTTACTGCCTCTCAGTCCCCAGCTTTTTATTACTGCTCTGGAAAGGGGTTCCAGGGCCCCAGACCTGGCATCTCCCATTTCACAGAGGGGGAAGACGCGTATTTGGGGACTCAGTAGTCCCGCTGTCACCTCCCGGACACTGCCCCACCACCGCCACACACAGACTTCGCTTTAAACTTTTCGCTTCCCGCCGAAGTTGTATGTGTTGGAGTCATGGAGAAAAAGTCATCTCTCTGCATATAACAGTGGAGTCGTTTCCAAACGTTTCTTTTTAAATTGGGGGGGTGGGGGTGGGAAGCAGAGCCCAGCCTTCTGCCTCTTGAGTGCACAACCCTTCGACTCCGGACAGGAACACACAGGATGCGCTCTAGTATATAGCACTTTCCAAAACCGCCCCCGCAGCCACGCAGGGGCACACGCCCTCTCGGCCTCACGACACCAACATCCCTATACCAGCCATGTGGTGCTGCCAACGCTGACGGAGGGCGATAGTGGTGGGGAGACCAGACCCCTACTCTCACATCCACACCACCCAGGCAAAGCGCTGCACACTCCAGTGATTCACATACTCTGTAAATAATATTTTTTACACTCCCAACTTTCCACATGCACTTTACAAACGCCACCCACAGTCCTGGGTGCCATATCCCTCCGGGGCCAGGGACCTGAGGGCACAAACTACCGACACACCTCGGTCTCTCCCTATCCTCAGGAACTCTAGAGTGGCATCAACCACAGGTCCTAGCTAAACACCCACCATAAAAACCACACACACTCCGAACATTACTGCACACACGCAAAGGAGACGCTGAGGCCCCCACGTTTAAAGGGCCAGTACCTCTCATAGAAAGGGCCAGAATCTCCGCTGGCACCCCAGTTCCTCCCTTTACAAACAGCAAGAGCAAATCCCAGTTTTTCCTGCACCCTGCACCCCACACCCCATCCTGGGCTCAGAGTACCTACATTGCAGACTGGCGGGTTGCGGCCAAGCAAAAGACTCAAGTCCGGCGAAACAGGAGCCGCCGGTAGCTCTGCGCAGCAAGCCGGCCCCGGGCCCGGCCGCCCCGTACAGCCGTCGCGGACCCGGGGCAAACGATTCCATGCAGTCGTACATCGCGACCAGGCTTGGAGGGAAGCTGGGTGCTAGGAACACCAAGGACCCGCAGCCGATTCCCCCTCCTCCCCCGGCGGCGCCCTGCTCCTGCAGGGGGGGAGGGGGAGGGCTAGCATAGGGCGCTGGGCTGCATGCGGGGTAAGGGGTGGGCGGGGAAGAGGGGGATCCCCAGCAGGGGAAAGGGACTGGGCGGGGCGCGAAGCTGGGGCTGCAGCTTCAGCCTCAGTCCAGCTCACTCTGGGCGCCTCAGCAGCTAGCACCGGGGAGACCTTTGTAAAAGCGAAGCCCGGAGGGGTGGGGGGTGGGGCTTGGAGGGAGAAGGGGGCCGGGCACCAAGATGAGCAGAGCTGAGAGTGGAGCGCACACACAAACACATACGTACACTCGCTCCCCAGCGCGCGCGCTTGCTTAGACACACATCTGTGCATGCATTTATCTTGGCAGGCACCAAGCATTTGCAAATATGCAATAGTGCACATGCATGTCTGCACGCTCATAAAATCATAAGTGTACACTATTGTCCAACACACCTCGCTCGGGAGAACGCTTGCAAGCATACTTTCCATAGCCCAAAGGCTTTGCACACATTTGCACTTAGGCGCGTGCCCAGGTCTGGGTAGGGAGAAG